GTCATCTTGTAGCCTCACACTGTCTTCCTCAGTCTTAATCCTCCTCATAATTTTTGTATCATCAGCAAACAATGAGAGGAATGATTCTATACCATCTGGAAGATCATTTACATATATAAGAAACAGTATGGGTCCAAGGACTGAACCCTGCGGGACCCCACTGGTGACGTCTCGCCAATCTGAGACCTCACCCCTCACAGTGACTCGCTGTTTTCTGTTACTTAGGTTCTCCCTTATCCAATGGAGAACCTTCCCTTTCACTCCTGCCTGCATCTCCAGCTTTCGCACTAGTCTTGTGTGGCACTGTCAAAGGATTTTTGGAAAGGCTTTCAAAGGTTTTAATGTATTCACCTAGTTGTGCTTGCAGGGGTTGAGCTCTGCTCTTTCGGCCCGCCTCAACTTTTATTAAACTAAACCCCCCCAAGGAAGCAGCCCGTAACAGCTTTCTATCAAGGCCCTATTTACTGCTGGGTAACAGGGGCATCAGGGTGAAAGAAACTATTCATTTTTTATTCTACCATCACCGGGGATCGAGCCCGGACCCTAGGATGGAGAGTCCAGAGCGCTCTCTACACAGCTATCAGGCCCCACGTAGACGAATCTAATTACTATAAATGACTACAGACCTAGAATTATATAATTAAAACTCGTCAAACCCTTCTGTGCCTACTTAAGAGAACAGGTGTGCTGCTGCTACGAAATAATCTTGGAAAATTATTCAATAGCCCGAGCCTGGCCTCGGGCCGGGTTTGGGGAGTAGAAGAACTCTCAGAACCCCATCAACCAGGTATCAACCAGGTAATATTAGTGACTATTTTGACAAATGGGCCTCCATTAATAAATTTGTGGAAATAGTGAACAATGTAATATCAAGGGAGGGTAGTGACAGCGTTGGCTTGCCACAATTATATTATATATATATATATATATATATATATATATATATATATATATATATATATATATATATATATATATATATATATATATATATATATATATATATATAATGTCGTACCTAGTAGCCAGAACGCTCTTCTCGGCCTACTATGCAAGGCCCGATTTGCTTAATAAGCCAAGTTTTCATGAATTAATGTTTTTTCGACTACCTAACCCACCTAACCTAACCTAACCTAACTTTTTCGGCTACCTAACCGAACCTAACCTACAAAGATAGGTTAGGTTAGGTTAGGTAGGGTTGGTTAGGTTCGGTCATATATCTATGTTAATTTTAACTCCAATAAAAAAAAATTGACCTCATATATAATGAAATGGGTAGCTTTATCATTTCATAAGAAAAAAATTAGAGAAAATATATTAATTCAGGAAAACTTGGCTTATTAGGCAAATTGGGCCTTGCATAGTAGAAGAAGTGCGTTCTGGCTACTAGGTACAACATATATATATATATATATATATAAGTATGTTGTACCTAGTAGCCAGAACGCACTATATATATATATATATATATATATATATATATATATATATATATATATATATATATATATATATTATAGGAGGGGTACCACCTCTGGTGCAAATGTAGGGACCCATAGCCTCGGAGAAGAAAATAAAGAGTACTCAGAGAAGACCTTGTGGATCCTCACTGAACACTTTGATATTTTCTTCTCCTACCACCCCTATTCTTTTGTTAAGTGTGTATATTTATCTAACTATTTATTATTTTTATCTATTTATTATATATTTATCTAAATATATATTATATACCTGTATATATATATATAACATTTATTTTACATAAAAAAGAAGGTACATTGGGATTGTGAGGAGACATAGCATAGTAATGACATTCTGGTAAAGCCAATAATACGCGCAGCGTTTCGGGCAAGTAATTATCAAAAGAAGGCACCAAACCGACGCGTTTCGGGCAAAATTTCTATTATTTCCAGTATGAAAACTAAACTTGTAAGTAATTTTCCCATAACCTATATATAATTTAAAACTAATAAACTAGTTCTATTAATTTTACAAGTGCTTCTTAGGAAAGGGTACGAACAGGCATAACTTCTTTAAAATGCCACATATAAATTAAGACATTCTGACATTTCCCCACAATCACATTTGTCTAAAGAAAATGGTTATTAGATGGTTTGAATAGTTTTGTTTTCCTGATTGGGAACCCTGAGGGGCAAGTTCGTTTCTCAGCTCAGCACAGCCACACTTTACCACTTAGAATATTTTGCTTAGTTTCCCAAACTTGTTTGCTTAACAAAAAAATCTGAGCAAGAAACTGTCACCAATGGTATTTATACAGGGCAAAGGCTAAGAATAGAAAATTACTGACTTAGAGAATATATGTCACCTTTACACGTGATAAAATGTCAGTTATCATGGATACTTAAAATCCTTCAAAGTATACTCCTGAAACACATGAAACTCTACATCTGGTTTTTTTTTTTTTTTTTTTAGAGGGACTGGTTTCAAATCAGTACACTGAACTAGTTTCGTACGAAATCAGGATGTGCAAAATAGCCTAAACAAAAATGAAGGATAGAACACTTAATACCCAAATGGTCCAGTTTTTAAAACCGTGAACCACTAATTCGCCTACATGTTCATTCAAAAAGAAAGGCAAGATAATTTGTCAGAAAGCAACAAGCCAGTATAACTGTATATCATTTGGAAAGTATACGCGGTTGGAGTGAAGGAATAATAGTGATAGACAGTTTCAAAAATAGCCACGAAGGACACATGCTTAACTGAGCTATTATACTTTGGACATGCTACAGCTGGCTACCATCCAGGCGTCCTGATCAGACCTTATATTGCAACTCTTCATAGAATGCCTTGCTCTACACGAGGCCATTGGCATCCCCCCCTTTTAATCACAGACTTAATATTGTAATGCGATTTCACCGCTTCTCGCCATCTCGAGTACAATCACTTTCAGCTCTAATCTGTTTACCTATTAATTTACAGGGGGAGAGATAATTATCCTTCTTAATATTGTTTGCACATTTTTATTTTTATTTGGGGGGGGGGGGAAGGAATTGACTTCAATAACCTCTTCCTTCAATGCACTCTTTCCTACCACCCATACAGGAAGGGGAGAAGAAAAAAAAAAAACTTCCTTGCATATCTTGAACTACTACACATCCAGATTCCACCTGTCTCATATCATTTCAAGTAAACTTCCTTTGTCCATTTTATTCCCCCCCCCCCCAAAAAAAAATACCTAATACATATATCTCAAGTTCCTTCTCTCCTCTGCACCTCCATGCTGTCCTATCACACTTCAGTGTTAAACTTCAATGATACAAAAGATCTTCCAAATATTGTGTGGACAAAGTAGTCTTCCCAATTCGTTGAAACTTGGTAAACTATCATAACAAATAATTGGCATGTTCTTGGGTATCATCTCTGGCCCATGTCAAGAGTAAGATACAAAGAAATTGAAAGTTCTGCAACTCTCAAGAAATTTCTAGCTATTTTTTTTAACCATGTTCTCATATGGTTCTATTAAACTTCCATTGTTGACACTTTTGTACTGAAGTAGTTAGACTACAAATAGTCTTACTGTGATGAAATACTGTGAAAAATCATTCACATCAACAAAGGCAAAAACCAAATCACTAGAAAAAGGGCTTTCTGGTTCTAGTTTTTATTCAAGGTTTGGTCAAGATATTTAAAGCAACTTTTGGAGGATACAGAAAATAGTTAACTATTCATTCATGGAGGTAAAATATATTGGTTCCCTTCACAAACGTCTTTTTTCCCCCACACATTAAATGGCTTGGAAATGCGTTGCAGAACTTAAATCACCATACATAGCGCTTCCATAGTACTTTCTAGTTAATGTTCATTTAGCTCATTTCTTGCACTGGTTAAATAATAGAGCAATAATTGGGGCATTAGCCAACAATTATACAGCTTCATGGATCTAATGTTAGCCTTATAGTCGTTTAAATAAACTTTGCTTGGAGCCGCCCTTTTTAATGTACCATATTAATGTTTTAGTTTTCTGGAAAAAGATAGTATAACAGTTTGCTTTTCAACACTACAGTATTTATAGAAAACATTCTTCCATCTTCTACATCATTTAAATCGCACAAGTCATCCACCAGCATTACCCAAATTATACTTTTACTTATTTCCGACGTGCAGGTATTTGGAGGCTTCAAAGATGAACAATCACATATTATACTGTACAAGTGATAAAAAAAACTAAGTTACTGGACAGAACTAAACATCCACCAGACAGCGAGACATAGTAATTGCCAGGATCAAATTGGGCTAGTTACCTGTGGCAGGTGATTGCAAAGTGACAAATCTCCCAATCCTGAGCAATCCAGGTGTAAATTGAGCAGGAAGCGAGTCATGATTTTATACACTACAATGAACATTTTGTCCTGTGACCATTCATCCTTGCTGGCATGAGGTATTTGGAGCTCCACAATTACTGCATCCACATCTGTGTTCTAGAGGATATGTTCATAATGCACCAAAAGTTTGCAAGTGCAAGCATTATCACACATGATGCTGAAGACTTGCATCACGATGATGCAAGTCATCGTCATTAAGACTCAAGACCATATGACTAACCATTAGCGAGACGGAGATCTTAAGGTTGACACTAGCTCTTGACAAACTAACCCTTCATATAGTCATGGGCAGCAGCATAAATGTAGATGTACCCTTGTAGATTAAAAAAAAAGCCACAATTAACACATACTATTGCATAATGGAAACGGACCAGGCTTTATTAACAATAAATTACGATATTTTTAGTTATTCTACTGCATCAGTTACATGAATCAAAGTCTCTGCATCCATTCAACAATCAAGTTACTACACGGGTACAATATTCATATTCACAATCATCTTATTGTCTATTTCACAATACTAACTTTTTCTAAATGTAACGTTTTTCAATTATATATTTCAAGACATATTTGGAGATGCAATCCACATGCATAGCAATTATATATTTTGGTGACCACATTTGTTCCTTTCTAAATGAAAAGAAAATACCCAAATATTTTTCATTTTTTATTTTCCTATTGTTTGTGGACCATTATTTGGTTATATGATCTAGTGATTTTCAATGTAGCTTACAAATTATGTGGTCAAGCTCCCCCTAACTTACAGTTCACAATTTAACTTGTGGTTAAGAGCTAAATGACCAAAGATGTAAAACCAGAGTAAACCAATCTATGATAACCTTTATTGCAATTAAGAGTAGTGGAATTTATAACCTCTGTAAAAGTAGGCAAGTGCGGAGATGAGCAAGCCGTTCCCAGCTCCCTCAGAAGGACCAAGATGAATGCCAACGGTAACACAACACTATGTATAACTTTACAAGTATAGGATAGTTCATAGAAGAAATAATTACAAAACAAAAATGAACAATCATATTTATCTAGAAAAATGTCAAGTAAAGTAACAGCCGACGTAGTTCTAGCAGAAGTCACGCCAGTTCTCAGCCTTCGGTTATAGCATCTTACGTTCATCATAAATAAAACTTTACTCAATAAAAAAAAAAGCAGAAAACTGCCACTGATCACAAATGCCTGTTCCAACAAATCATACATAATAAAAAATATATTCAAGGGAGAAAACATTGGATATGGAGGAGTCCTAATTTCCACCTTTCCAAATCTCATAGCTCGCCAGACCATTTGGGAATAAGGATCTGGCAGACAGCATGCAGTGGTAGGTCAGCTGGCATCCTCTGTCATTTGCACTGATATCAAGAAATCAAGGGCATTTACAAATCAAAAAGATTTTATACAACAGTCAGTACCAATATGTACCAAGACCTTTATCAAATGGTCCAAAACTTATGTGCAATGCATATACTGTAATACCTAACTGCCAAGTGCAGTGAATTTCCTGAAATGCCCGTGCTTTCTGAATTGAGTATCCCATGACACTTGCCAATGTATGATAATCCATGGGGTTGGGCTCTGACATACCACTGGCAGTGGTCTTGGGTTGTTCCGGGATGATACAAGCAACAGCAATAGCCAGATGCTCGTGCTCCTGCTACTACGGCAACTGGACATTTGTACATGAACCTAAGGAGCAGCCACTAACTATTCTCAGGCTGCTTTCACTCCAGTCATCTTTGGGCCCTACGTGTTTATACAAGAACAATGGTAAATGCTTATACGCGATTAAATACCATGGCTATTTACACACCGAAATAGTATATATTAATGCAAGTCAAACTTTCCACCTTACAAAATTTTTACCAATACTGAACTTTATAATCACAGTTGCAGGGTAACAATTTTAAACTCCTCAATTCTGACAAAAGTTAACAATAGGATTGCATGACCAGTACTGTAGATAAAACCTACCTAGATTTTCAAAGTTTGACGATGCCCCTCTAGGAAAAATAAATAGTTCTCTGACCCATTTTAGGGTATTGCATCAATACAATTACACCATATTATAGCAACTGAACTTTGAAATGCTGTCTTGTTAATTTTGTCCTTGGAGGCAAAGGATGGCACCCCTCGCTAATCCAGGGATGCCCTATCCTGTTCTTACAGTAAATGAATTAGTTATTAAAAATCTGTCTAAATTGTAAATGGAAATAATATTCTTCTTAAAGAATATATTTGACAGGATGAGCGTGGGCTGACCACGTACAAAATTGCCAGCCCTATGAGTGATTGAAACAACAGGCCTCCTATTTCTTTTTGTTTTTCTGATTGGCAGCTCCTCTTGGTGGCGTAACAGGTCGGCCGGTATTCAAACCTCCATAAGGAAACTTCTTTTTGTCAGCAGGCTGTTAATAAGGAAAAAGTGTGTAAAATATACAAGAAAAAAACAGATACTCTCCTAACCTAAAACATGACGCCCAACATTATGCAACAATATCGACGAGTTTTAATGAAGAAAACTATTATATAACACACAAATTTAAGAGCATCTGATAGACTTGAAATTAGATAATTAGATTAGAAAAATTGTACACTGGTACATTTGCACTCAAATTTGCAGTCTTGGATACCACAAGTGAAAAGGTTACTGTCATGGAGAAACTCTTATAAATTGCACAATTACTTATCAAAAGGTGAAATATTAAGCAACAAATAATCTGTAAATTGGCCTAAAAAATATGGAGGGCTTACCTTAAGTATCTGGAAAGAACACATGAGTGTTTCATCTACAGACATCATTGCTCCAGCATTATCAAACTCTCCACAATAGTTTGGTGCCGAGAAGAGTGTCACTAACTGTCTCTTTGCGAAGAACTCGTAGCCATCTTCAACAACCTACAAAGTTATATATTTTTAAAATTCATGCATTGTTTGCCATCAAATCAATATGGAATTACAATCATTATACAGTATCAAGTTATAATAAGGTGTTGACCAGACCACACACTAGAAGTTGAAGGGACGACGACGTATCGACTTGAGAATGGTCCAGGACGGACCGAAACGTCGTCGTCCCTTCAACGTCTAGTGTGTGGTCTGGTCAACATACTTCAGCCACGTTATTGTGACTCATCGCCTGCTTATAATAAGGTACTCTCCGGGAGTAGCAAGCACGAAACCACATACCTGATGAGCACGACAAATGAGGTCAAAGTCGTGTTTGTGAAGGAATTTGGCAACAACTTCTGCACCAAATGTGAAAGAGACCCCTCGATCATTTTCCCCCCATCCCATAGTGTCCTGGAAAAAAAAAAAAAAAATTGTAGTGATTAAAATGTTGTTGCTGTGGAAGAGAAAGTTCTTTGCAGTTCCTCGAGTTCCCCAGTAATTAATGTACAGTACAGTAAGTGCAATAATCCCCACTAATTAGGCTTGACACCAGTTGACAATATAGTTCATAAATATCTCGTTTTCCCTTCCTTAGGAAAACTCACAATCTTTCACTATTCATACAATCAAGTCATTACGCTCACATTTTCACTCCCTACCAAAATACATTCAACAACAGGGGTGAGTCCTTTCGTTCCTACAAAGGCCACAATTTACTTAGAATATTAAATATATTAGTACATTGCCATATTAAAAAAGACTGCACATTGATTTTCTTAAGGTCACAATGTTTAGAGTACAATACTGTAAAGATCCTTTTATAACACTCACAGTTAGTTAAAAATTAATTTACTTTTGCACAAATACATTAATACAGCAAAAAGTGAAGAGAAAAATATTTTCTGTATAGGGTGATAACATTTTCTTGTTTGTTTTAATTTGGACTATTTTGATAAGACTGGATGTTCCTCGCCCCCCCCCCCCATGCTCTACACGAACATCTTATTTCTTCACGAGTTAATCTCAAGTGTACAATTCCCACTTACACCCTCCACCAGTCTTTCTACAACACATAACCCCCATCCCCAATCAAGCCTTATTTGCTCTTTTTCCTCAGTTGAGAGTTAAGACATGTTTGTTTTATTCACTTTATATCCATAAAATCAGTTTTTTTGTATTAACTGCTCTTGCCACTTTCTCTTAAATTCTGTCTTTGCCAATTTGGCAAAAAGTACTGTCCAGCATTTCCTGGAACTGTGGACAGCAGCAATTTTGTACAACAAACAATTTGAACCTCTACACTTAAATTCTTAATAAACCTACTTAAATGCTAAATGCTTAATTGAAACAAATATTACCTTGTCTGGGTCAGACCACAAGAGATCACAGAGTAACCCTTGGTCGGGGACGTCAGTGGGCCTCATAATGCGACGAATCTGTTCCATACTTTGTAAGTCGGGGCTCAGCCCACCATGACAACAAAAGATCTTTTCATCAACAATCGCTGCAACTGGTAAGCAATTGAAACAGTCTGTGAAGGTTTTCCACAATTTGATGTTGTACCGTCGTTTGCCTGGAGGAAACAAACATACTTTGAACCATTTCATCTTCCTTGAATCAAGAATTTTGACAATTCCACATATGACATGTTGAATACTACTAGACTACTAACTAATACGGCTGTTGTCAGCCCAGGTGTCAATACAATTTAACATTTACATTAACTACATGGGTTACACAAATATATACAGGTACTGTAATACAAATGCATTCACAAGTTCTATAAATAAAAATTTTATACTTGATAAACACACATTGAACGGCATTAAATGTTTTAAGAAACTGTACTCTTAAGCACTTCTTCACACCAGCCTACCCTCAAAGTCTACCACTTACACTCATCATAGAAGCCATAGATTCTGTTGATTGAAGCACACTCATGGTTGCCTCTGAGAAGGAAGAAGTTCTCAGGATACTTTATTTTGTAGGCCAGTAGCAGACATATCGTTTCAAGTGACTGTTTACCACGGTCCACGTAGTCTCCCAAGAAAAGGTAGTTTGACTCTGGTGGGAACCCTCCATATTCAAATAGTCGCAACAAATCATAATACTGTCCGTGAATGTCACCTGAAAAAGAAAGAATTACATCAGTTTCATATCAACATATAAAACAAGTGTATTAAATTATGATGTAATTAAATATGGAATCTAATGCTACCAATTTTCAAAAAACAGATACTGTACGTAAATTTCTTGTCATCCTGGATGATGGGCGGCACATCACAAGCATGAATGACAAAGTCTACACCATAACACCAGAACAATTTGGAATAAAGCCTATAAATATGCTGCATTGTATAACTGCATCCAACTCCCAGTATATCAGTGGGAAGAAAACAATTTAAATAATGACTTACCAAACAAGTAATTTATTTTGGCTTTTACTACCCGTTTTAAGAATAGGCTTGCACACACGGGTGATATTCAAACCATTGTTGCTAAACTGTTAAGGGTTAATTCACGATTCCTTACCATACTACTTGTGTAAAGGAGGAAATGTAGCTCTCAGAATGTTTGGTAATATGTTTATTGTTTGTGATGTGTGTATATGTATGTACTGCATTAACACGCTGTACTGAACGGAGTGAGAATATCTTTAGCCACCTCATCCCTTTGTATGTATTTTACCTCAATAAACTTATTTCAATTTCAACTCACGAGGCAAGCGATTCACTTGTGAGGGTATGGTGACATCAGGGAACACAACATGGTGCACAGAATAGGGCAAAGCTTGACCAAGAGCAGATTAAAACTGGGTCAAAATAATGTTAAACCTTAAATTGAAGGGTGTAACCACCACTGAAAATTTGCTCCCTCCCCCCCAAAAATTAAATTTTGAAAATTTAATTTAAAAAATTTAAAAATTTAAAATTTATTTAAAAATGTTTAAAATTTATTTAAAATAAATTTTAAATATAATTATTATTATATATTGTTTTATCACCTCTCGTGTCACCTTCATTTTTCCTGGCTATATAATTCAAGTATTGTATTGTTTATGCTTTTGATAACGTGATGATTTACACAAGAGCTCAAGTCATTTATTTATTTCATTTCCCCTTCGTAATTAAAAGTTTCATATTTATTAGTGTCATTTTCTTACATATATGCACAATAATTTATAAGGTTTGTGCATGTAAAGAGAGCACTTCCCACATCGTTACTGGTTAAGCGGTTTTGCGTGTAGTCATGTTTCAGTATTGATATACCCATTATAAAAGAGGGGGGGGGAGGGGGGGGAAGGCAGGGTCAAGAGGGGAAACAAAAAGGAGAAATAATGGGAAGGGGGGGGGGGGGGAGAAGGATGACAAAAAAAAGGGTAACATGGGGAAAAGAAAGTAGACAGTAATAAAAGAAAAAAGTGTAACATCCCCTTACTGGCCTTCCTACAGTATTACAAACACGGGGTGACCCAACGCTGGCACCTTCACGGGGACCTCCCCCACCCCACCTCCCCTACGTTGTATTACAGTTAGGTTGGTGGCCTGCCAGAAACCCACGCCCACCACCCCTACCCAAGCCTACACCACTACCACCACCCCTACCCAAGCCTACACCACCACCAGCCTCATACCACAGTAGCCTAACCCCCTTCTTTTCAAGCTTTTGTTCCGTGCTGTCATCGTGCCTATTTACAGATTTTTAAAAAGCTTAACTGTGCCTTTTCCCGATCAGATTTAGCCTAAGAGTTACTCTGGGCCGCGCACCTCGCGTCCACTCTGCGTGAGGAAGCTGTCACGACAGTGATAAAATAAATTTAATTGCCTCTTGACGCTTGGCGGCTGGACTGCGGTTGCAAAATCAAATACCTGATATAATATTAAAGTAATGAACACGTTTCTGGCAAAGAATCTTCACAGTTCAGCGCTCTACCCACTATATTTTTGCAATCTCATCTGACGCAGCCTATCGGAAGTAAACATACAACTCTAATGTGGAAAAAAAAGTAATTTTGCAAGATCTAAGGAAGCCTCTCCAGCAAGTCGGTCCTCAGGGTCATGTTTTTACTGTTAAGCATTATGAATGTTAGTCGTTCAATTCTTGCCCCCATTAGACATGAGCAAAATACTTACCATGACACCAACCAGAAGTGACAAGTGGTTACATGTCGCTGGTGGCAGTAGAGTTCACTAAACTCACAATTACTATTTCTAATATGCACAAAGTTTCCGCCGAGGCAACCATCCATCCTATTCGACCTCCTGTAAATCACCGGCTGAAACTGACCGCCTACAACCTCGTCAAGCTTTTTAAATACATCAATATGAAGTAGAAATCTCAGGCTATGGTAAATTAAACAAAACCTTACAAATTATTTAACGTAACCCAGCCAGCAACATTGGTAGTAAGGAGCTGCCTTTTAACTTAAGATTTATCGGCTACAACTAAAACAGCGTACTTTTTCAACTCAATTATTTGGTGTGAAAGTTTCCTCTGGAAAATATTAAAGTTCTTAAAAGTAAATAAATATTAGCCACTGCCTCGCACAAATTATCGATGCATTAACGTTATCACCACCTTCCACAACCCAAACACCATCACCAACAAGGAAAAAAAAAATAATCGAGAAACATTAAATCAAGAGGATCAACGACAACTGTTACATCAAAATTGTTCGGCCAGTTTTGTCAGGGTGGACACTAATACCCTTCACCTTCAGCATAAAAAAAGGTGAGAGGAAGCGTTAAAGACTTCCTTTGGTCTTGCCCTTGATGGCACTAGGTTATTGTTCTTCCTGGACACCCATCTTGTCTCCACTTTACCTCCCCACTTTCATCTTAAACTCGCGAATTCGAGTTTAAGATGAAAAGTGTACTAATTCGGTACACTCGTGTACCGAATTAGGAAAGCACATTTGTAGCATAGCTTAACAGTACTTCATATAATAAAGAAGAATAATGTCAGCATTGGCAGGCACGTGGGCTCAAAGTTCTCATTTTTAAAGTCACGGGTGAGGGGAAAAAACTTGGCAAGATGGCCGCCACCACCAGCCTACCATAATTACCGGTCTCTGCATACTCGCCCTCTCAGTTCCTGCTTGACAACGTAATTAAAATTATAAATTAGTGCTAGCAAAGACCTTATATGTTGTCTGCACATTTTCCTTGGTTATATTTTCAACACATTTTGTACAGCTCTCTACTTAAATGGCATGCATTTTACAAGGGACCTTTCAGCTTATTTTCACAACAAAACACCTATTTTCCTCTTATCTTCCAAGCAATTTTCTTCTCTACCTTGTGCCTTTTATAAACTAACACTAGTGAGATCACCGTATTTGTGTTAAACGTAGTTTATAAAGTTTTTTTACTAAGCTAATCGGGTCAAATATAGAACTCTAAAAATTTCAAGAACACCCGAACAAAATGCTATAAATAAGTACATTCCAACTTTCTCTTCCCTGCGTGTTTGCCCCACACGCCATGCACTCGCCAAGATACGAATCCCAGTGTCAACAAGATCCTCAGCCAAAGTGTACATTTACAGTTTAATAATACGGGAGCCATTTTCATTACCAGCCAGAAAAAAAAGTGGCTGGTTTGGAAAAGACGAGTTGACGAGGCACAATACTTCTTCGGCCCAGTTTACTCAAGACTTAAGCCGAACTCTGAGAAGGATAAACTAATATTGCTAAGTCAAAAGGCATCTACTACGCGGTAACTATATAGGCCACTGTTTTGTCAATGTTATAGAATAGCTTAAAATACACCATCTTAATGAAGTGTATCATCTTGGACTCAAATATTGTACAAAATTCAACTTCAATGTTTTCGGTATTATGCTGCCCAATAAACTCGCCCCTCGGGGCAAAATTTAAAAAAAATTAATTTGATTTGCGAAAGAAAACTAACTGCTGTATCAAAAAGGCAACACGATGAACCTAATGAACTGCAATATTTTCACTGGCGAGTAACCGTATTGTCAACTTTAATCCTCACGTATTATTCCGCATTTGCTATCACATCAGCGTGCGTCCACGGCGATTTCCAATATAGTATCTTTGTTTAGAACTTAGTACACGCCATTCCTTTAGATTTTGAAGTGAACACTTACCCTAAGTGATCCCGGTAATATACTTCACCTTTGAAGAGCAATTGCTTTTGAGCTTAGAAGTTATGAGATTCATTGTACACGCAATTGTACCATGTCAACAAGGTCGTGGGCTTGGTGAGGCGATCATCCAGATGGCGCGTCAACTGAGCACCTGGTTTCAGTCCCAAACTCCCTCTCTTAACACACACCTTTAAAGTGAACATGTCAACAAATTTATTAAACACGTGTCCGCTCAACAAAATCACACTTAATTCCGTTGACATTTAACGTTTTTCAGAGTCGCAACAACGAGGTCATTAGAGCCATAAAAATATTCATCTAACCTTTGATTCACCGTCTACTCCCAAACAGGAAGTCATATCGGAAGGGAGAGGTTCTGTAATCCAACACGATAACGGAGCCTAACGTATGCAACACCTTTTAATCTGTCGTCTCTCCTTTGGCTAGAAGAGTAAGGATTCACAAGCCCCACTCCTATCCCTCTATTCCTTTCCAACACAAAGGTAGTGTTCCAAGGAGAGCCATTCTGACAACACAGTACCTATATGCCATGTAATAATAGGCTACCGATTAATTGATTATAATGCTAATGATTTTAACATAAAAAAATCAGATGATTTTCGTCAGTCAATAAATAAAACATTCTGATAACGAGAATAACAAAACTAAAGCGGCAGGAAGCTTTCTCTAGCAAGTTCACATGTCTGTACTAATGTACTCCATGTGTGACGTACTGCGGTAAGGGCTGCCTTAGGCCTACGTTAAGAGCGCCTCTTGCATAGTACCCCCTCTCACCCACAGCCACCCTACTAGCAAGACGTAATGCGTATCGATCTTTTCTGTCCTCTCTCTTCCTCCCCCTTCCCTGTGCGCGCGCATGCCATGGTCAAGGTCGGGTTGGTGTAGGGCAAGAAAGCGCTCCCTTCGGGATACACATCCACGTAATCAAAATTGGCACATGTTCAAACTATTACATTGCTTTTGTAAAAAGCAGTACACGAGCCGATTATAAA